GTGCAGCAACATTTGCGAATCTTTTCCGGCGACTTTCCAAATCTGGAAACTTTTAAACGAATTCTGCAGTAGGACGGCCACGGACTACAAAACTAAATTGGAGGAGGCGGTTCTCGAAGAAATTAGTGAACATCCAGAGATAAGTACAAGAAAAATCAGTCAAACTTCAAATATGACAGTTTACATAATTTTAAAGGAACAGCAATTATATCCTTATCATATTCAGCGTGTCCAGGCACTTACGCTACGTGATTTCCAACCACGTATCAAATTTGCTCAATGGCTTCAAAGAAAAGTCGAACAACACCGGCAAATTTTATCAAAAATCCACTTCACAGATGAGGCTAATTTTTCAAGAAATGGTATAATGAACTTCCATAAAAACCACATCTGGGCGGAAAATAGCCCACAAGCGATAACGCAAACTCATTTCCAAGACAGATTCTCTTTTAATGTATGGGTAGGCATAATTGGGGATTATTTAAGTGTGCCCTATTTTCTCCCCTTACGTTTGAATGGAGATGCTTACCTACATTTTTTGGAACACCCAACTTATGGAAGATGTTCCCATTGGTCTTGGGTATACTGTGTATAAAGTTTGATGAAAATAACTAATATTGCAGAAAACTTATGATAGAAACCTACCATGGGAAAGAAAGTTTTTGGCTTTCTACTACAAAGGACGGGGGAATCTTCCTTGGAAGATTCCCTCGTCCTTGTTTTTTGTATCAAGATGGATTAGTAGAAAGCCAAAAACTTTCTTTCCCAAAAACTAATCACTCCTGAAAATATAACCCCTTCAATTCAAAAACCTACCATGTTTTGAAAAATTTCAACAATCTGTATTTAGAAAACGAATCATTTATCGTTAAAAATTTTATAAGAAAGAGTTGTTTATTTTGACGAGATCCACTACATACTTGGTTTTTGTAATATTCTCAAAAACTCCACTTAGCGCCCTAGAAGCTAAATAATATACATCGATATATAAAATTGTAAATATTTCGAAAACGATCACCTCCAGCGTTGTTGAGGAAGTGTACCTTTTTTACTTGGAAAAGGTGTGGGAATTAGGTTTTCTCATGAAAAGTACCAAAAGTTTACTGTCAAAAAAGTTAGGGCAATTTGAAATAAATAATGACAACGTACGCAGCGCCCTCTAGATGTTACATGAAAATTAATACGAAATTATGATTTCCCACATCAAAAAAACTCAGGGTACCGAATTTCGTGCGAATAACTTATTTTTTGCAAGAGTTATTTTCAAAAAGCGAATAAAAAAATTCAATTTCAACACCCCGTATCTCCGAAGCGAAGCATTTTCTGACACAAGTTCATATAGACTTTTTTCTTAAAATTGTCTCAGGAATACGTCACTTGAATATTTTAACATACTTATGTTACACCCTGTATATGAAATACTTCGAGAATTTCCGAACATTGAAGAAGTATTGAACTTCAGACAACCAATTCCACCTCAGTTTGCCACTTTTCGGAAAACAACCACGATTTTAACTTGGTCTACGCCATATAACATACAGAAAATGATGGACAAAAATGAATTCGTAAATCTTCAACGACCAACAAGATGTTATTCACTCATCATAGTTAAAGTTGTTTTCATGAAATACCAAGAATTAACATATTCACGAATCAACTGTTTTCGTAGGAACAGTATTTTTTTTAATTGCCACAGAATTCTCGAATCAATTGAGTTACTACTTTTTATATTGATATTTTATATTTAATTATAAATTGTGTTGTATATATTTTCATTTAGTGTAGCTAAAATCACTCTTATATTAGTTGGAAACGAAACATTCGAGGAAAGTAAATCATTTAAGAAATCCGTCCTAAGGAAAAATATTGCACTTTCTGATAATATTCCTCCCTGGATGCCCAAAAGGTCATCCAGGGAGGACTGGCAAATGACAAATATCTGGAGAGAGTTAAATGGACTGTAAACTTATTTCAACCCTATAAGTCGCCGGGACCTGATGACATATACCCATTAATGCTTCAAAAGGGACCGGAAGCTCAAAAAATTGTGTGTAATTCTCAGGGAAAGTTTAGCACTGGGACACATACCAAAAATCTGAAGACTGATCAGGGCCACCTTCATTCCGAAACCTGGTGAAATCGGACAGGACTCGGCGAAGGCCTTGAGACCAATCAGTCTCATGTCATTTGCGTTGAAACCGCAGGCATATCAAGGACGTATCACTGGCTATCAGACGATTACATCGAGACCAATATGCATACAGGTCAGGTATGTCAACAAAAACGGCTCTATGTCGGGTAACAGAAAAAGTAGAACATACTTATAAAAACTAGAGGGTACTTTTAGCAGCTTTCTTTGACATTGAGGATGCATTTGACAAACCGTGTTTAGAATTATTCATCCAGGCATTGAGTAGAAGAGGGATTGACAAGACAAGCTGCAGGTGGATAGACTGCATGCTTAGGTATATGCAACCATTATGGGGGAAACAGTCGTGGCACGAGTAGAAAGGGGCTGTCCTCAGGAGGGGTTTTAAACCTTCTATTATGGAACCTTGTAATGGACGAGCTGTTATTATGTCTCCTGGACCACAATGGGTATAAAGCACTGGGCTATGCAGATGACTTAGTCATTTTAGTCTCGGGTTGATACCATAATGTAGTGAAGGGATGCATGCAGCAGGCCCTGAATATTTATAAAAAGATGGTCCGAAGAAAAAGGGCTTAACATAAGCCAATCCAAATCGACCATAGTAGCATTCACCAAGAGGACTAAAAGAAATATAAGTGTCGGGGGAGGTTAATTATCTGGGAGTTATTCTAGACTCCAAACTGACCTGGAACCAACACTTAGACAGGATAAAAAGGAAAGCGGAGGTAGCACTGATGCTCGCCAGACGCACCTATGGGAAAAACATAACCAGAAAAGGTATATTGGCTATACATGATGGTGGTTAAACCCATGATAACATACACATCTTTGGTCTGATGGCCAAAGATGAAGCAGGCGACCGCTATCAACAAACTAGACAAGGTGCAAAGACTCACATGTTTGGGAATGACGGGAGCAATGAGAACTACCCCAACAGCTGCATTGGAGACACTCCTGAGTCTACCTCCTTTACACTTTGTGATAATGGGGGAGGCAAGGATGGGCCAATTCAGACTGGAAAACTCATCGAACTACAAAAGATCGTACGGAACAGAAATTTCGGAACATGTGGAGAAAGGAGCGCACATTGAATATGTGCACGGACCACATGACACCGAAGTACATCTTTAACATAAACTTCACGACCAAAATCATAAGCCGTGAACAGTGGAAGACTACTAGTCATTTCGAAAACACGTTTGGAAAAAACACCTGGTATACAGATGGATCGAAGACCAAACATGGACTAAACAGGACTATACAAATCCGTCTTTCAGGCGGAATTGTATTCCGCCTGAAAGACGGATTTGTATGCTATCTTGCAATGTTGAAGGCTTATTAAATTGAGACCTCAAAGAAATGAGCGGATCAATATTTTAACAGACAGCAAGAGCGCACTAGGGGCTCTGACAAACCCGAAGGTGACATCAAAACTGGTCTGGGAATGCCATGAAGAACTGAAAGAACTTGCAAACAGGAACAAATGAACTTTGTACTGGGTGCCAGGGCATTCAGGAATCACAGGTAATGATAAAGCTGATGAATGCGCTAGACGCGGATCATCAACTTCATATATAGGTCCTGAACCAGCTCTGGGGGTACCAAAATCATTGATACGAAACCAGATTAAGACATGGACCAATAAGAAGCACACAGAGTACTGGACAAAAGTACCTGGCAACAAACACAGTAGAACCTTCATTAGGGAACCGTCTGAGAAAAGAACCGAAGAACTACTTCAATATATTAGGGATCGGTTCAGAATAATCACAGTCATTGTCCGCTTAGAGGACACCTGAATAAAATGGGGTTGTACAAGGGACACCTCAGCTACAGAATATGCAACGAAGGGATAGAAACAGCTCTCATGCGAATGTGATGCACTGAATCACAGGAGGCAGGCAATATATGGACGTACAATATTACGTCCAGAGGAATGTGACGAACATCCAAAACGGAACCTGTACAAACTAGTAAAGGGAACGAGACTAATGGAATGGGTGTTATGAGAAGATGGGAGAATAAACGCAATAAATCTAAGATGCTGCAGTGTTTTCTGGAGACTTGGACTAAATGGACAAGTCAGACAGCCCCCAAGGGACAAAAGAAAACATTGAGATTGTGAACATCTGTCCGATGAGTAATTTTTCTTAATTAATTTTTATTGACTTCTGAATATTCATGCACAATGTGTGATATAGGTTTGGAGTTCAATTATCTCAATGTAATGTTCACGTTTTGCGTTATAATTTCATAGGAAACATACTTCTTAAAAAATCTAGTTTCTTATGTATTTACTTCATAATCCAGATAACGTCAAGTATCGAATAGCCTATAAATTTTCTGATAAGGTTTAGAACACAAAGAAGTGTTTCGGAAAAGTTTTAAAAATTTTTATTATTTGATTCACACACAACAAAAAAATCATGAAAACAGAAAAAACTTAAAATTATTTACAATGTTCTTTAAAAACTACAACGTAAAAAGTCCAATTCACTAACTAGGTAACAGCAACATCATAACCGCATGTTTTTTTCACTGAAATGGGAAAAGTTTTTGATAACTTTATAAGCATTTTTACCTGGGCTCAAAGTATCTGTAGTCTGATTATGACCTATCAAAATATAGTCATTCGAAATTTTTCTCCAAGCAACACCTCTTTCAATCAAATGTTTCAAAGAGTCAATCATAGTATCATTGAGAGTATCTTCTTCAAAATTTCCTATCAAGTTTATTCCAATACTAAGTTTCTTATGACAATTTACCACATTCCACCCTCTTCCACGGAATACATTTCCATCACCACCTATGAGAAAGTTATAGCAAATATCATCCAATCTTTTTTCAAATATATGATAACGTTGAAAACTTTGGACTTTTTTGGCACACGATTGAAATGAGTAACAAGGAGAAGATGCACTATGACTTATGATCACCAGACCTACAGGATGAGGAAGAACTTTTTCAGATAGAGGCTGACTCGCATTCCAGTCCTTTCGAGAATACAAATGGGATTTTCCAATATGTGTAGAACACCAATATGATCCTTCTTGATTTTCGTCTATTTCTTTCGATGGAGAATTGGAGAGAGTAACGTAGAGTATTGGGGTGGTAGTAGTAATCAAAACTACAATGCTGATGAGTATAACTTGTTTCTTGCTTTGCTTGCCGCATAACATAAGAAGACTTTCCAGGGGTGTTGGAACCGATTGTTTGGAGTTCACTGAAAAAAAAACATGTATCAATAAATTTTTTTGAGAATTTTCAAATACAATTCACTATAAGGACTTGAGCATATTTTCCATGATAAGAAAGTTAGACTTTTGAGATTCTAGATAATACGTTATTTTAAATAACATCCCCTGTTTCTATAAAAGTTTGCAGAGGTTAGAATTTTTTTAAATAATGATATTGTTGATAAAACATTCAGAAAACATCAAGAACACCAAGTATGCATAGTGTTCCTAGGTATTAAAGAATATCCTTAAATAAAAATGAAATAATGTATATGTGCCACAGTGAACGTATAAACATTTACAACTATATGAAATATATAGTGAAATGTCATTATAAAGAGCAAAGGAGATCTGGAGTAGGTATCATATATTTCCAACATAACCTACACCAGGTGAACTATTACTATATATCAAATGATAACAGGTGAAAGTTGAGAAGTAGAATATAAAAGTTACACTGGACCAAAAAGCCACGTGGAAATAGTTCCAAATGCTCACGGGGTTGCATTTTTCCATAAAAGCAAAAATATATTTTTTTAAATAAACAAATATTTAATAACCTAACATTGACATGGTCCCTTTTAAGGCACAATGTGGCGTAAAACGTAGCGTGTAATGCTTTCATTATATTTTGATTTTCGTTCACTTCGATTCAAGTTCCTGCGATTTATTCAAACGTAATATCCCATATACAGAGTGGTCCAACGAAAAGTATGCACTTTGCTTTTCTCCTTTTTTTGTAACTTAACGCAAAAATGCTCGGACAGGTCAATTTTGCTTTTGAGGGAATGAGCACTCAAC